AGGGGGACAAGGGGAGCCTGGAGCAGTGAGGATGTGCTGCTTCCCCCCCAAAAGATGCCGCCGCACAGCCACCAGACCGCAGCCGCCCCTCTCCCTCCTCCCTGCACATCCGATCCCACTTCCGCAGCCCTCTGCGAAGAGTGGCAGGGAGACCGCCAGCACCCACGTCACCTGGGAGCTTGGCAGAAATTAGAAACTTGGACCCGGTCGGGTCCCGCTGAGTCAGAATCTGCATTTCCACAAAATCCCCAGCGATTCTCATACAAGTTACAGTTTGACGGGTGGGAGGCGCCCAGATCCTGGGACTCACCTGAGCTGGATGGAGCTCTCGCTGTCAGCGGAGACAGGGCCCACGGGCACGGTCTGTCCTGGCACGCCGGACCTCCCGATCAGCACCCGGCCCAGGTCGCAGCTGAGAAATGAAAGAACAGAAGGAAGCCTCTCTGAGATGCCAGTTCCGTCAGAAACCAGCCCATTTTCTGAGGTGGCAGGTGTGTGGAACGAGGGACAAGCAGGAGGTGAGTGTGACACGTGGGGTTCCGGTCGTAGCGCTCCCCCTTACAGGCTGTGACATGGGTCCTCTCTGAGTCTCAGTTGATTCATCAGTAAGGACAATAACTGAGCTCACCTCACAGACCCAGTGGGAATACACAGGTAATGTCTGTCACGTGCCCAGGAGAGGGCGGGTCCCCAGGAAGGGCTTATTAGAAAGGGTGATATTATGAATTTCTACAATTCTGCCAACAGGTATTTCTCAAGCCAGGAGGAAGAAAGTTCTCCACTGGTTCGAAGACCTTAAATGATAGGCTTCCTGTCTCCCTCTGTCTAACAACATTGTCTATGGTTCTCCCCGTGTCCAAGCCATGCGGGCCACGCACGCGGAGTCCACACCCCTCCCCACCGGACCTCCCCAATCTCTTATTCCCTCTGCCTGGAAAGCTCTGTCCCCAGAGCTCCACACAGATGGCTCCTTCTGGTGACAGGTCAGAGAACTGGAGAACCCTCCGCTGTCACTTGGCATTAACCACGCCCTTCGGTTTCAGAGGTGACCCTGCACATCTATTCCTGTGTTCACGGTTCTTGGCCTGCCCCACCCCGCAGAAGGAATGAGAATGAGGCCGCGCCCTGCTGTGCCCCTAGGACTTAGAAGGTGCCCGGAGAATAAATGGTCAGTGACTGTTTGTGAACGGAAGAGTAGAGACTGGGTCCGTCTTCGCCCTGAGGCTGGGTCTGGAGCTCTTTGTGCACTCCCCTCCAAGACTGTGCGCCAGACCGGGCCCAAAGCAGGGCTAGAATACAGATTCCCAGGCCTCGGTTTCAGATGCACGGTTTGAATTTCCAGGAGGGCCCTACAATCTTTACCTGGGGACCACTGCTTTAGATGACCAAGCATTGGTTCAGGTCAGGGCCCTAGAGAAAGGCTTTTTTTATTCCCCAAAAGATCTTGTGGCTAATTGTGTGTGCTCTCAAGAGGACATTAATAGCTCCATAATAGCTTCATCCAATCTTGATTTATCCGGCTGTCAAGGCCTGGGACATAGGAAGCACTTAGGAACTGTTAGTTGGCTATAATGAGCTCAGCTAGATAAGTTGGAGATGAGTACTATATGAGATCACCCACGTGCGGGATCTAAGGAAATTAAACCTGTAAGAACAGAGGGTAAATGGTGGTTCCCAGAGGATGGGGGAGATGGCGACTGTGGAAGATGGGCCCAGAGGGAGCAGCATTGGGCGGACGGACACGCAGCACCGCCTACCCCGCTGCCCGGCTGGAGAAACAGGACCTGCTGGTCCCCAGGACCCAGAGACACCCAACTCGGCTTTCCCACCAGAACTACAGCCTTTGCCTGGGTGCCGAGGGGCTCCGAGGGGGCCGGGCAGGACCAGATATAAAGAATCAAAGACTGACTAAGGAAGTCCTTCAAGAGCTGAGACCATAAAGGTTGGGAGGAGTCAGGGAGGGCTTCCTGGAGGGGACACTGGAGCTGAGCCCCGAATGCCCAGGTGCCTCTGATGAGCAGGAAGGACGGAGGAGGTTGCTCAACAGAACAGGGTAGACATTTTGACTTATACCGAGGGGATGTAAAAGCTTCATTTGCTGCCTCCCTCAGAACCTAAAATACCAACCCACATCATTAGTTATGGCTCTGATGACTGAAGAAACAAAAGTCAGGATTACCTTATGGAAGAATCTTGCAACTATTGAGCACCTGCTTTACTGAATGCTCGTCTGCTACAAAGGAGACAGGAGACAGGAGAGGCGAAAGCAAAGTATTGCCCCCCAAACCCTCCACGTTCAGTCTGCCATTCAATCCTCAGGCCCACCCTATGAGAGAGGGTGACCCACCTAGGGGGAGGGGGTGCGGCTATCACCCTCTGTTTATACACGGAAAAACCAAGGCTCAGGAAGGTGAGTAACTGACCCGCCATGGCCGCTAAACGGCTAAAGTGGGATTTGAACTCAAGTCTACCTGACCAAAAACTCTTGCATGGGTCCCACGCCCTGTGTCACCCCCGCCCCGGGGCACCTATCAAGTGCCCACTCGCTGTGCCACGTGTGCGCCACATGACCTCGTTTAACATCGGGGCAGCCCCAGAATGGGGAAAAGGAAAAAGGAACTTGTACAAAGTCACACGGCCCCAAGCGTCAGGGCAGGATGGGAACCTGTGTCTGTCTGTTGGCCTCACAGCCTTAACTGCACCACACTTTGAAAGCCATGGAGTCCGAGGATGTAAGGATCACGGAGAAAACGCATTCCAACCTGCCGTGTAACAGAGGACAGATCTTTGAGCCCGAGGGAGGTGACAGGCTAGCAGCAGGCACTGAGATGGCACCAACCCAGATGGGGAGGCCTTGGAAATGCCCGGGCTGGGACTGGCCAGAGCAGAGGGGACCAGCTGTTCTTTCTCTCAAACCCCTCAGGTCTGCACTCACGAGGGCCTGGGTCTGAGTCAGCTCTGACCCGTGTCCCTGAGCCCCAGCTGCAGAGCCACCAACGCTGCTGGCTCTGCGGCCTCAGCTGCTCCATTCCCAGACACTTATGAACACTGGGTGAGCAAGCTGTGCCCGCAGCAGAGGAAGCAGGTAGAGGAGAAGGAACAGGGTCAGGGAGCAAGGGCCACAGGACTCAGCCGAGGCCCCACGGGGATGGAAACAGTGGCCCCACCTCCGCCCCCACTGTGGGCCACTGGAGGGGCTGTGGAGGGGCTGTGGAGGGGCCGTGGGCTCTGCTGCCCGGTAGCCCTGGGTTCAAACTCCAGCTCCGCTGACCTCCGACCTCCCTCTCCTTCCGTTTTCTCTACTGGGGGGAATAAATTCTTGTGAGGACGAAGGAAAGCCCTGATTATGAAGTAGCTAGTGGGAGCCTGGCACAAGGCTTCTTCTCCACCTGCCCTGAGAAATGAGGATGAAGACCCCGCCCCGTCCTGGAGCCTTTCAGGCTACTACGCAGCAGTCTTGACCCTTTTAAGAAACAATTCTGCAAAGAAGCCAATGCAGCAAGTTTCACTGGAGTTGCTGAGGGAGCGAGGGAAGGCTTCCTGGAGGAGGGGGCATCCTGGCAGAAGCTCAGGGAGGCAGCTGGGAAAGAGGGGCCCCTCCCATCCCCAACAGCCCTCTCTTGTCCCCTCCTTCTGCTCCCCTTGATCACAACCACAGCACCCACCCCAGCCCGGCCTGGCCGCTCCACCTCCAAGCCTGCAATCTCCAAAGTCGTATTTCAAAAGTGCAAAGTGCAAATCTGCGCCTAATTACATCACCCCCAGACCTTCGGTGGCTCCCCACTGCTTCAGAGCCAAGCACCTTGGCCTAGACCACTAGGACCCCACAGTGGTCTCTCTCCAGCGTCTGTCTCTCGTTACTGCCGCCTCCGCTCTGGGTCAAATCACAGTGAACGCCTTAGGGTTCCCTCGCTGCTGCGTCATTTTTTGTCAGCCCTGCTTCCACTGTCTGGAGCGCCCTCCCTGTCCGCCCCTCACCCAGCTTGACAACTGCAGCCTTTTCTTTCACCATGCAGCTGGAGGACCACCTCTTCCAGGAAGCCTTCCGAACGCTTCCTGCAGAGTGAGTCTCCCCCCGGGCAGCACGCACACCACCACGCGAGCCTCAAGCGGACAGAGGGGCCTCAGAACCGGCAGCCCCGTGGTTTAAGGCAGCACAACCTTTCCTGCTTTTACGGAGGGGAAGTTCACATGACATAGAATGAGCCGTTTCAAAGTGCCCGGGTCAGTGCTGTTCAGCACATTCACAGTGCTGTCTGCACAACCTGTGTCTAGTTTCGAACCATTTTCATGCCCGAAAACCCATCCACGGGCGAAACATTTTCAAGTAGACAGAGATACAGGTGGCCTTAAATGTGTTTGTGATGTTTTTACTTTTTAAAAAAGGGTCTGTCACCCCTGAACCTCTATTCTTTTGTATTTCCCAGGGGCTTCGAAATGGTATTCTTAAAAGGATTTGTTTATATTTTCAGCCCTAAGTCTTCCCCCCCTTGAACTGAACCCTCCCAGATGCCCCCCACTTTTCCTAAGCGCCCCCGCCTCAGTCTGCAGATAGCTGTGCCCCCTCGGGCTGCCTCACCCACCCCTAGTCCTGACGGCGCCCCTTTCTTTCTGCAAACCCCACGGCCCCGGACTCAAGATCCTTTCCCAGAGACCTCCGGAGTCCTGAGTTCAGACGGCAGGCAAAGCGCGGGGACCTGCGGCCTGGAGCCCAACCAGTTCCTCGGCTGTGGCAGGCTCTGTGCAGGCATCTGCCTCAGTGTCCCCAACTGTATGCAGGGCGCAGGCACTGTCCTGCAGCCTCCTTTCCAGGAAGGTAGGGAAGCCCCAGTAGGTGAGGGGCGGGGGGCCCACGGCCCCGCCCCCGCCCCCGAGTGGGTGGAGTCACAGCCACCGCCCTCCCGGCTCGCGGGCGAGTGCGGGGCCCTAGCGCCCCCCGCGCGCTCACCCTCCCA